AAGTACAGTAAACTCAACACAAAAAGAAACGTTACTAACAGTTCTGGTCTTGCAAGATTAGGCCTTATCTGTTCATTGTGTCTAACAAAGCTAAAGAAACTGGAAGGACAAGGCATCTTCTAAACCAGAGGTTCTCAACCTTTTTCTTCCTGAGCACCCGCCCTAGCATGCTATAAAATCTCCATGGCCCACCTGTGCCACAACTGCCCAGCTCCCCAGCCCTGCCTGCACAGCCCCCGATACAGCAAGTGGGGCTTGGAAGTGGGGAGCCCCAGGGCCCCACTCACCTGCACAGAGCCTCATCTGCGTGTCTGCAGCACTGCCTGCATGATGGAGGCTGTGGGGCGGCATAGGGCAGCCCCCCCCGGGCTCACTTCAGCCCCACGGGAGCCAAGGCAGCTCCTCCTTGTGCCATCATGCTGGTCTGGGTCATCCCCCTGAAATCTGCTCCCACCCCTCCCACCCCTCCCACCCCCAGTTGAGAACCACTGTTCTAAACGGGATTCATTTTCTTTGCCTTCATGAAAACCAAGGACAGGGTGGTGATGACAGTGTTCAGACAGTATGATGATGAACACTGTATAATACCTAGGCAGATAGGAGGTTTAAAAGGTGGACCATTTTTAAAAGGTAGACTGTCTGATAATTTGGATAAAAGTTTTGCCAAGGCTAATGGTAATAGAAAATTCTCCGGATAGTCTTCACTTTAGTTAGAACAGTTTATTGAATTTAAGCTCTCTCCTGCAGGGCTTACAAAACCCCACGTCACTACAGCATCTCAACATCTGAAAACCAGAAAGTGCAGTCAACTAGTGCATTGTCATCGTCTGATTTTTGTGAGCTTCAGAAACTAAGCTAGATAAATGGTGGAATATCAGCCAAATTTAAAAATCAACTGCCATGTCATCATCTATACAGTTACCAGTGACAAACAGCAAGTCTGTATGTCTAATATCCATTTTTTGTAACCCATCAGCTTCCCCTTAAAAAAAAAAAGTTACCAAAGTTTATTCAGCTCCAGATATCATTCACTGACTTTAAAAAATCTGGCTTCATTTGAAACCTCCTTATGGAGGAATGCTGTTGAAGTGTCACCCACTCATGGTATTCCTGAAAACGTAGTTACATATTAAAAAAGCTCGTTTCTAGAATCATTCGATTACACAAACATCTCATGTTAAAAAAGTAAGATTCTAGCCCTGATGGATGCAGGGAAAGGCTTGAAAAGGCTCAAAAAACAGAAAGGCAAATAAAAAAGCACCCAATTTTTGAGAAAGTTTCATAATTTTTTTTTTTAGTTAAATTTGTGATTTTTGGAGACCTGAATGGACGTGGGTTGTAGTGTTAATATGTTCACTCACAATTCTTCTGTTGCTAATGCAAATAGATGGGGAAGATGGGTATTTTCCTTGACTCCATTAGATAGAAGACAAATCTCCTTTACCTTAGCCAGAAGTACTAAAGACTGAAAAATAAACACCGAGAAAAGGCAATCAAGCAATTCACTCATTTTGATTCATAAGGAGAGCCAACCCATTCTGGTGTCTGTATATTGTTTAATGGCAGTTAACATTCTTTAATATCATTATATTATTCTGTTACAGTTTCCTCACACACTGGAAAACTCTATGCACAGTAATTGTATACTTGGAAAATCCTAAGTAAAGAAATGATCACTATGTAAAGGCAAAAATAGCTCAAGAGAAATATGCTCAGAATTGCACAATGCTATTTATCTGAAGAGTCACTTGCTGCATTTGCCCTTTTTTGCTCAGAGAAAAGCAGAGCTTAGATCCAGGCTTGGTTCAATGCGAATTTCCAGATTATTCCAGTTTTACACCCAAAGCTTTTTTTTTTTTTTTTTTTGGGGGGGGGTTTTCAGTACCCTGCCTCTGAAGATGACCAGATGCTTCAGAAAGTAATGCTTAATGATCTGCCCACAAGAAGTTTCTTCTTAATGCCCCTCAGGTACAGGTTGCTTTATGCCCCAAAACATGAGGATTTATATCACTTCCAAATGGCATAAAGAACAGCTTTCTTCCTCAAAAAGCAGCATTTTTTTATAGATGCAATAAAGTGAATTAATTTATTCTATTACCTTTTGTTAAAGACTAACAGCCCTACTGTGTCACCATGTACACAAATCCCTACTGTGGCTCTGTGGACAGTGTTACTCACTGCTAAGGACACTGGTTGCATGGATGATTTTGGGAGTCTCTCTCCAGCCAAGCAGAGTCAGGGATAGAGGGTTCAAAGGCAGGGATGGAGTAAGTGCCACAATAAGGCTTCAATTGCTTAACTCAGAGCTGAATTGGGGCCCCAGCCCCTTAGCTCCTGGCCTGCATTGCACTTCGCATTACCTGTTTGGCAGCTTAGGGAATGGATCTGTAATCTCAAAAAGGGTCTTGTCCCCTGCCAACAGGGAGAGTAATATAGTATAACAACAACCTCCATGTATAGTGACATTTAATGTTAGCTTGAAAGCCCTTTTCACAGTTGGGTACTAATAACACCACAGAAGAAACAGAGGCACGGAGACTCACCCAAGGTCATTCAACAAGTCAGTATATCCAGGAAGAGAATCCAGTTCTAACTCATCTGCTACCTTATAGACACTGTCACCTCCCGAGGTTTGCCACTTCATGCACTGTTGAAGCATGGGGTAGGGAGACACTTATTCAGGTATACAGGAGAAAAACAAAAAACTCAGGGTCACCTTTACTTGATGAATATACTGGAGGAGGGCCAGAGGCAGTGAGAGCTTTACTACAGACAACTGGGATAAAGAGAGTGCCCACATGTGTCCAATGCACCATCTGCCCAACATTCATCCTTGGAAGGAACACAATCAACTCCTTTCATCTGAAATAGGACAGGGGGCATGCTCTGTGGTTCTCACACAAGGCAAGGGTTCATTTGAAGCTGAGGGGAATGCTGTATGTGGAAGAATCATTGTTCAGCCCAAAATGAGGGAGAGATGTTGGCCCATTGAAGACATTATGAAAATATCCTCTACACCTTACTGAAAGTATTAAGCAGAGACACAGAGAGATGGTTAACCTCCTATTTCTCTCATTACATTATGGACTATGGCTTCTCCATAGTTCAGGCTAATTCTAGTGTTTTTTGCTTGTATGTCAATTTTTTACTACTGACCGCCTCCAACTTCATAAAAACTAAAGCAACTTCCATGATGTGTCATAGATGTCTCACGCTAAGGCAGAGATTTCAGGAAAAGCTAGACATAAATCCAACAAGCTATTCTGGGAAGATTCAAAACATGAGCAGCGAAATCCTGTTTCTGTCAAGTCCGGTGCCAAAACTTCCATGAACTTTTAACAGGTCCAACATTTCACCAACATACTTGGAGACTTTCCTAATACTTTTTTTTATTGCTCCTATTATTTCAAGAGCCACCATGTAGAGAAGTTCTGACCTGGAGAAGATTTAGTGCACCTTTGACTACTTGCAGCAGGTTGGCTCATCATACTTCGGGATTTGGGGGCGTAAGTGCCGTTTTCACTGAGTATCTTGATTTGCGGCTGCTTTTAATCGCAGAATTCTATTAAGGATTAAGTCAGTGATTCTCAACCAGGGGTCCATAGCCTTGAGATCCCTTCAAGGCTGCCACAGGATGTCATGCAATATTAGTACTATTAGGTGTGCAAACAGGATTCACAATATAAACCCAGAGATTTCAAATAGGAATCCATAGCACTAAAACATGCTGACCTACTGTGGGCTTCCTGAGTTCTTTGCAATAACAAGACAAATATTTTTCTGTAGTCAAAAAACAAGTGAAAACTAAGAGCTGGCATTTTCTGAGGGGTGTCTTGAGTCTAAGAAAGGATGCGTTCTAAGCCTAAAATGGTTTAGAACCACTGTATTCTAAGGGCTTTTCCTTGAACATACAGGTTTCCCTTGCCAACCGCTGGGGTTAGGTTCCTGAAAGTTCCCGTGGCTGACAAAACCGTGGTTGGCAAGACAAAAGGCTTATGGGAAAAATGGCAGGTGGCGAGCTGATGCGTGGCCACGGAAAACCGTGGTTACACAAAACTGTATACCATGGTAGCCAAAGTGGTATATAGAATATTAAGCGTGGATACTCAAAACCGTGGTTGGCGGGGAAAACCTGTATTGCAACACATTTACCATCCTAACGCCAGGTAACTTATCTTGAGAATATATGAGACATATATAATCTCCATTGTAAGTGGATAAAATTTGACTCACTTGCACCAGGGTTGATTTTGACCCTATGTATTTTTTCTCTATGCATACAGTACACAATATAGTATGCAGAAAGCTGTAAGAGGTAGGTAATAAACTAGTACTAGAAAAAATAAACTTATAGAAATGCATGTAATAGAGACAGGGAGGAGATGGAATTACTACAGTACGTTGATGTAACAGGCAGTAATGCATTGCATCCGTTGTGTTCATAGGGGAGGTGTGAGAAAAGTGTCTTAGGAAATCTGGTCTAATATCCTGAAAATTCTGCTTCCCTTTCCACCATTTCCAGAAAGGATATTTATTCACGATTTCTATTCAAGGTATATTGGTGAAAAAAATATTAATAAAGGGCTAATTAACTGTCATAGATTCATAGACGCTAGGGTTGGAAGGGACCAGCCCCCTGCCCAGGGGCAGGAAGTCATCAGGGTCATAAGATCCCAGCAAGAAAAACATCCAAATGTCTCTTGAAGGTGTTCAAGGTAGGCGCTTGAACCACCTTCGGGGGCAGTCTATTCCAGGCCTTGGGGGCTCGGACAGTAAAGAAGTTCTTCCTTATGTCCAGCCTGAAATGGTCATGGAGGAGTTTGTGACCATTCGACTTTGTCATCCCTTGGGGCGCTCTGGTGAACAGACGTTCCCCCAGATCCTGGTGAGCACCCCGATAAACTTATAGGTGGCCACCAGATCCCCCCTGAGCCTGCGCTTTTCCAGGCTGAAGAGTCCCATAGCTCTCAGCCTCTCATCATAAGGTCTGTTTTCCTGACCTCTGATCATGTGCATGGTTCTTCTCTGCCTCCTCTCAAGCTTCTCCACATCCTTTTTCGAATTGTGGAGCCCAAAACTGGATGCAGTACTCCAGCTGCGGCCTCACCAAGGCCAAGTACAATGAGAGTGTCATAGGTTGTGAGAGGCAAACATGTCAATGGGTTGCATTTTGCCATGGCTGACAGCTTTAACACCTTCTCCTGATGCACCGGAAACCATGCAACATGTACTACTTACATTTTTGGACACACATTGACAATTAATTTAGGGATAAGCATCTGTGCAGGATGCTGGACTAGGTGACCTCTGAGATCCCTTCCTACCCTCTGATTCTATGATTACTTGTTTATTAACCCTGTATAAACTACCTCAGGGAGTACGACTGTCATTAAGGTATGATTGGTTTCTTTTAGGAGCTTGAGATTTTAATGTGCTAAAGTTCCAAACAAAGAAGAGTTGTAACATAAAATATAATAAAAATCCTGCAGAGATGAGTTTAAAAGTTTCAGTCAGCTAAATAAATCGTTTCTAGGGTCACCTAATAATGTCGCTATTAAAAATGAAATGGCAAAACCACTTCTATGAACACTGTTGCTGTTTTAGTATCTCCAGGCAAGGGTACCAGCAGCATCTTCTCGCTAGGGGATGATATTTTATCTTTCTGGCTTGGACACAATGGAGCCCTCTAGATGTGACCTCATCAGCGTAGGAATGGGGGCTTCCTGCCGTGTCTCATGAGATCACATTTGTTTGCTTGCTCTTATGCTCAGATGTGGGCCTTCTGTGATAAGGCTGAGCGAGGCACAGTGGTAACAGTGTTGGGGAAGATTATAGTGCTGCTGTATAAAGTACTGTGTTTGCATAACACTGTGCCATCTAGGCAGCTTTCCTCCAGAAAGTCCATTTTGAATCATCCTCCCTGATCATGCTCAATAAGGCACACTGCAGAGTAACAATGGTACAAGTGGTCAGTAAGATTATCTCCTCCAGGCCACACATGGGGAGCTGGTAAGATGCCCCATCTTAAAAAATGCCCAGTTTACACCTCCCCCCACCCCACACACAGGCTTCTACCTACCAGGAAGCTTCTTCTATTCCTTAATTCCCTGGGTGACCAAAAGCACAGGCTGGAGAGGTGGAGTTGTCACAGCTAGAGAAGGCTATCAAGTGCGAATGACAGCTACAGCAAACTATCACAAGAAAGATGCATTTTGGGTCTCCTCTGTGCCAAACACCCTGCAAGTTACCTCCGCTTTAGCACCGACACACAGTCCCTCTTCAGCGGCCCAAGCTGCAGGTGGGCATCTACGCTTTCAAGGAAAAAGGCTGGTTTGAGGTTATATGCGAACAGGGATGGGAACTGGTGATTGATCTTGTTCTGGAATGGGTCAAACATGCCCTTCTTAAAGCGGGAGACCTTGAGCTGCTGGAGACACGTCATCTTGGAATCCTTGACCCCGAAGAACGTCAGGGCCTTCTCGGAGTATTCTAGGTACACCCCGATGGTGTGGAAGAATGGCTGCTGGATGACAGATTCGAAGCCACCGAACCAGGCCACGTAGTTCTGTCCGTTCCACTGTAGGCAGCAGGACTTCTCGTTCCTTCCGAGGCGACCTCTGTCATAGGACTCCCGCGAATTGAAGTCATCGGTAATGACCCCGATGCTCACCCAGCCATCGATGATTTCCACCTCCCAGTAGTAGTTGCCCCGGTTCATCATGTTTTCGCCCAGCACCTGCTCGCAGTTGATGAATCTGGTTGAGCTCTCAGGGTAGGCAATGGGATTGAGCACGCGTTTGGCCCCTTTGGTTCCAAAGAGCTGGATGAACTTGTCTGCAGTGTCGCTGTCCAAATCAATGATGAAGGCAACTGGGTAGAAGGGGAGAAGGGAGAGAATCAAAGTGGGATCCTTCCTTGATTCCCAAGTGATGAGTTGCAGTGCTACCACTTCTATTTTCTTGCTAGTGCTCTCTGGTTCTTTCCCATTGTCAGAACATCGAAGCCTATTCCTATGATAAAATGATTTCTCCCCACACAACCATTTCCATCCCTTGACCCCAGGACAAATAATCTCCATTTAGTCAGTGGCCCAAGAGACAGTCTGACCACTGCATGTTGCATCTGGGCTTAGAAAGACCACAAGAGGGGAATTCCAGAGCAGAGAGCCCTGCTCTGAGAACTTCCTGCCACCCCCACCCCAGGAATTTAACTCTGGACTCAGAAACAAAATGTAATTGTGCTGATTGCATCCAACATACAATGCCTGACCTGGCAGTGTATTAAACAGATCAGACACAGAATGGCAGAATGGTTATTACAGGGGCCAGCAGTACGTACTAAAGAGGGCTGCTTTCTGGCTAGCACAGTGGAGGTGACTTCTCAACTTAACATATGCATGGAACCATGCAAAGCTTTTTAATGCTACCAAAAAACACCAACCCTACTATCCACCCCCTCAAACTGATACTAAATCTCTGAGAATGAAAATCTGACTAAGAGCCGTGTGTGGCAGTTGACTTCAAAGAGATTAACATATCCTTACTGCTGGCAGGAGCTGGTGACCTGCAGATACCATGCCTCAGAGCACTAGTGACTGGAGCAGCAGGAAAGCAAGATAAAGTTTGCAGCAAGGGACCTGGTTGATGGATATTCACAAAACACGAGCTCAAGTGGAATATGGATTATGGTATATCTGCCTCCCCCCTCCCCAGGAATAACACAAATCTCTGAAGCAAAAGAGATCCAGGTTGCTAAACAAATGGGAAGGAGTCAAAGAAAAGGGGATGGGAGTGTCTTTGCATTCCCAGTGGAGTGGGCCCGGCTTATTTTTGCAAAGGGTCACCTTCCTCTACACAGCATGACTTGGAAGACCTTAATGCTAAAAGCTCACCCTTGGATTTGTAAGGCCAGGTCTGCTCAAAGGGGTGAGAAGTAGAGGATGGAGTCAGGGGAATAAAAAGGACATCAAAATGTACGTGTAGTAGAGCTGTAGCTCCATGCAATAGATGCAAGCTTCACTCCCCTCCCACACCTGCAAGTTAGGGCTCTCACACCCTGTCTGAATAGAATCAGTCGCTCTTGTTTCGATCGAGTCTTTCCTCGCCCTCTGACCTATGCAACCAATCTTTCTATGGCAGCTCACCCAGCACAACACAATACTCTGAGTGTCAGTAACAAGCTCTGAATAGGGCAACTTTTCAACCTCTTTAGTTAACATCGCCTTTCCCTGGACTCTTTTTCATGTCTGTCTTATTCAGAATTTTCTTTAGCCACTCAGTCTAATCAACAAGGAAATCATTCATCTGCTGAAAGCGAACAAAAACAGATCACAGGAAACATGGACTTATACTTTTTCTGACTACAAATGAAATAGTAGCAGGGGTTCTAATCCAGTTAAAGAGAGAATCAAATTAAACAATAATGGGAATAAAGTGGAAAATATTTTGCAAGCAACAGATTCTTGGCCAGCTTTCCCAGGGCTGTTTTGGGAGCGCCACAGATAAGTCCGTTTTTGCAGGCGTTCGTTAGAAAGCAAACTTTAGCTACACAGTGTTTATCACAGCCACACTGCTCCAGATATTAGCAGTTTTGAGAACAGGAAGTTTACATGCTGTCTGGCTTTCAGCACACAGAGGAAACACAGCGCTGGCCTTAGCAACAAAAGCCAAAGCAAAAGTCAATGTCTTACATTTCAGGAAATAGTCTCGTGTTTCTGAACAGGCTGGATTGCTCGGTTTATCTGAGAGTTGGGGCTCAGCAATTACTGCAAGGAGAAGAGAAAAAGGCTTCAGAAGGTTACATATACAGCAAAGGCAATGGAGCGGACAAGCCATCAGGAACTGATGCTGCTTTTGCTACTGCGGGCAGATGGCTTTCCAGGTGAGGTGCAATATTCAGTGTGCCCCACAGGGAGGCCTGCTTCAGGTTGGGGGTGCATTCCCCATGCCTGCCTGTGGTCTGGTGTGTTTTAACATATAAAGCAAAGAGGGGGGAAAAATGCCTGCAAGACACTGCAATATGCATAAGGGGTCCCTTCAGACTGAGCAGACAGGGAGGCTCAGGACGAACAAACCAACCCTGTCCTGAAAGCCGTGTAATGCTAGGGTGAGGTGGTTACGGAGCTGAATAAGCCCAGCAGCGCCTGTTGGCTTGGCCTTACCAGCGACCAGCAGCCACACACAGGGACTCTGACAGGTCTACAGCAGGGCTTTTAACCACCACCGGAAAACAGCCTGAGCCTTGCGTAGCTTCAACCTTTTAACCCCCTCAGGCTGGAGAGCGCGGAGAACAAAGCTCGCCTGTGTGAAGAGGTTTGTCTGTGTTCACAAGAGACAAGTCCCCTTTCATAGGAGGCCGCCTTGGATGTGCTCTCCTCACCGCAGGGCCCCGCCTAGCAATACATCTGTTTGTTGCCTTTTGATTATCTAGTCGTCGCGGAAAACTCATAAAACCCATGAAAGCGAGGTGCGAGACCAGACAGCCAAGGCAGAGCTATTATTATGCAGTTGGACAGTAACCACACTGTATGCCTTCCAAGGCTGCTAGGGAGGGGGCCGGAGATCCCCCACGGCCATCCCCTCGGGTACCCTGGTTTCCCGCATGCATTTGCTATTTATAAAAGCTCAATGCTGAGTCCACAGAGCTTCTGTGCTTCTTGTACATGCTGGGGGCGGCTTGGAGCTGAAGGGAGCTCAGAGGAGCCAGCGAGGGGCTAGCGTGGGCTGTGTCGATACAAACCTTCTTGCATGTCATGGAAACCAGCCCCGTCAGCCCCTTTCCCCAGCAGCTGGTCCCACTGGCTCTTGCAGGCCGTCACAAGCAGCTCCTTCACGGCGCACACGACCTGGCTGGACTTAGTGAAGCTCAGCTCCTTCTGGAAGCTCGGACCTGGGGAATTATTTTCCTCGGCTGCTATTTTTAACGCCTGGAACTCCTGAGTCAAAAAGACAGGATTTCAAAAGATTTCAACAACCCTGGGCTGCGCGTTGTTCCACAACCACACCCTCTCCCAAAACGCTAGGCAGCGGGCCGCTCCAGGACCTGGCATGCAGACATGCATGCAACAGGGAGGAGACCGCTTTTCTGGCCACGTGTTCCTGGCACCTTGTCTTAAATCAACGGCATCTCTGGAGCAAGAGCATCATGTGGAACAGGATCTTTTCCCACAGAGGTCTCTGCCCTCAGTTCCAGAGCTGGAAACAGGCCCCTCTGCAGAGGCTGCCCCCAAGCCAAGAGCCGCACCGTGGTTAGACTAACGAATGGCACGTGCTCACAATAACTGTCCTTTAGCATTTGGACAATGGCAAGAGGTGTCTCAGTTCATGCGTGACCTAAAAAATAGGGTCAAGCTTCCTAATTCGAGGTGACTGGAAAAGCCTGATCCCAGGCCTGCTGAGAGTCAATCAGGATCAGGTCAAAAAAAATGCAACACAAAACAGGTCTGTGCTTTTGCACGCCGCCTCTTCCCACAAGCTCCAGCTGTGCTTCCTATTTCTGTTCACCTCAGACCTGAAGAGTGTCCCCTGAGGGTGCACAATCCTAGTGGCTTTGGCTATACATTGCCATACAGCAGAACCGAATCCCTTTTATGCCTGCAGTGTCACTCCCACTAGAGATTGCTAGCCTATTCTGCCCTTGGCCAGCTCCTGGTCCTTTGCTCTTCAGCATCGTATCCTGTTACATCAGAGCATTGGATAAGGACATTCCCAGGGACACCAGCCACCCAGTCCTCTTCTGCTCCAGCCACACCAGCCCTCAATACTGTCCACTTCATCCACTCCCACAACCCTTCCCCTCCGTTCTACAGAAAGTTACTCTCTAGAGGCCCAATCCAAAGCCCACTGGAGGAGTCCATGGGAAACTTCCCATTGACTTCAGAAGCTTTGCACTGGACTCTAATTCAGTGGGAGGCAGGCATGCCAGAAATTAAGCCCATACCTTTCCTGAATGCCACTCAAATTCCCTTCCCCTACCCAATCCACTGCTCTGCCTTCTGCTCCCTTACCTGTGCTCCCTGCCTTGTCTGCTGTTCTGCTTTCTGCTCCTGCCCTATGTCACCATGCTGCTTGTCCCCTCTTCGATCTGCTACGTGCCACACACAGAGGATGCCAATGTTACAAGTTAGCTACCCCTGCTCTAGTTGAATAATGGATTAACCGACAGCTGTGTTAAGTTTAGGGGGAGAGCTTTAAAGAGTTGTGGTGTCTCCCCAGCTCTCCCCATTCAACGTCTACGTGAACTGAATCGGAGTGAGGAGATTAGGTCCCCACATCGTGGAGATGTTCAACTCTTCCCCTTCCCTTGCCCCTCTCCTAGCATGGTTCCAACTCACCTGTAAGAAGCAAAGGGCATCCGTGCTGGAAACTTGCTCCAGGTTCTGCTTGCATTGGGCTAGCTTGGCACGTCTCTCCTCCTTCTGTCGGAGGTACTCTTCAGCCTCAGCCAACATGGATTGCTCGTCATCCTCAATGAAGGTAGCCACCTCTTTCTGGAAGGTCTCCAGAGCTCTGGTTGCCACAGCAAAGAGCTTGCTAACTATGTCCTTCTCCTTCAAGGCAGTGCTCTGGGAAGAATGGGATTTGCAACGTGTTTATAGATAGCTTTTTCCTTTTCTAGGGGTTCATTTCCATTTCTTTTCCATTTCATCTAGGGATCTCCATCCACATTACAAGCAGCCCAGTTCACCGAGTTCTTGTCTGCACCAAGCTGTTCTGCACATTACAAGCCACCACTTGCTGAAGTGCAACATGCTACACTGGCCTAGCTTCAGGGGTGTCCAAAACACACCTCAATCAGCATGGGCAAGGTCTGAGCTACACAATACCTCTCACATTACCAATGGGAAAATGGGGCCATACAGAGATAAAGGTTTTCACTCAAGGGCAGCCAGTGAGTCACAGCAGAGGCAGGAACAGAACACGATGGTTCCCACTGTGCTCCTTTGTGAATCACAGAGTATTGTTGCACCTGTCATTTTAATCACTTTACCCCTCACTTCCCTGGCCCCTTCCACTTGGAAATGGCGCATCAGTATTTTCTCCTCTGGTTGGGTTTGCTGTTACACATATAGATACAGAGGATGCTAAAACCTATGGAGGGTGGTCCAGCATCTTCCCTAACAGATCAGTAACCCAGAGTGCAGGAAACTGGGAAATAGTAAAGAGGAATGGGTAAAAGACAACTTGATCCTAGAATGACTGCCCCGCAGAAAACTTAGGCATGTAGGGCTGGAATTGTGAACAACACTGCTCTGGGAACCACCCCAACAGCAAACCTCCTGGGAGGGACATCTTTGCATCAGCTAATGACTGATGCCCTCATTCACAGCGTGGCTTTTCTCCACTCCTATACAAGCACTGTCCAGGATTGGAGACCATGCATCATGTTAGGCCGCTCACTATCAGATGGATATTGGGGAGTCAGATGTTTAGGGTGATCATCACCACAGTTCCAAAGCACTTGAGCTCTTTTGATCTGGACATCAGGAAAAACTTCTTTACCGTCAAAGTCTCCAAAGTCTGGAATAGACTCCACCCAGAAGCGGTGCAAGCACCTGCTCTGGATACCTTTAAGAAATGCTTGGATGCGGTGATCTGACCCCTGCTGACCTCCTGCCCCTTGGGCTGGACCCAATGATTTCATAAGGTCCCTTCCAGCCCTAATGTCTATGAAAAAAAACACCTCTGGTACTAGGGAGTTGTGCTGTGTCCTGAAGACAACCTCTGACCTGCCTATTTCCAATAGCAGAGGGTGCTTGTAGGATGAAGTTCAGAGGGGAGGTGGACAGGAGCAGATCTTTCAAGTTCAGCTTTACCCCTGAGCCAAGGTCCTCTTACCTTGATGAGTTCCACAGTCTTCCTAGTCTGTGCAATGACGACTCCCAGCTCATCCAGCTGATTCTCTACATCGCTCAGGATTTTTGGTCGCTGGGCCTTTCAAGAAAAAGGAGGAAAACAGAACTACTGACAGGTCCATTAGCTGTCACACCCGAAAGCATGTTTGGGACCCATGCCCTCTGAGAGAGATTGTCTGCAGGGATCCACAGGCATCCTCCAGATTTCAGCTTACAACTCTGTTTTCATTTTAACCCTTGCTCCTCACCCTCCCTCTAAATTCTATAAATCAAAATCTACCAGGCTGAAAAATAGGGAGGATGCCTCTGAGGCTAAGGGAAAAGTTTCCTACGAAGTTTCAGACGAATTGAGTGGGAGGATTCTGAAGCAATGGCCTCCCCAAATCCTGCAGGAGCTTAGCCCTTTCTTGCTCATTCCTAACTCAAAGAGCAGCTATGCTGAAGACACCTGTGGACTTGCAGCCTGTGCTAGAGACTGACTATGGGACTGGGGCTCTCCTGGGACACAAGGAAGCTATCTGGGCTTCATTTTTGCAAAGATGTGTGGGAACTAACACTGTGGCAAGGCAGTCTAAGCCTGGCATACCAAGGGGTTTGCCTGATTGGAAGGAGCCTTTTCACAGGCTAACAGGTAACCAGCTGCACCGTTCACACCTTATGCCCACTCCTAGCCACTGCTCACTAGCCAGTGAGGGCATTTTCACTGCCGAGAAGGGCTCTGAACAAGCACTGACTCACTGCTTGGAAAACACCAAGCGATGTTCCATTGCACTCCTATGTTCACTGGCTGAGAGAGATGACCTCCCAGGCCTATCACCAGGGAGCTGGGAGGAGAGGGACACTTATAGGGGAGGTGAAACAGGATTGCTCTGGAAGTGGCAATAACTGGGTGGAGGCTGTTGGAGTGGGCAGGGTAGCATGATGTCGCCGCAATACAACTACTAATTCCAATTAAGACCTCCCTACTACACCAGACCAAATCCTTGCCACCCTAACAACTGTTACAAAAGCCAATTCTCTTCCTCTGGTGTCCAGGACAACAGCAGGAACAAAATTCACACTCTTGCGGGAGACTCTCCATTAAGCATGAGCAATACAATTAGCTCTGTGCCAACCACACTCAACATGCACCTCCTTCCCCTGTCAGACTAGAAGCAGCAGCAGAGTAGACAGGAGGCGAAAACAAGAGATGGAAAGGCACAGGCAACTCCTTTAACAGCCGTCTCTTCTTGCACCTCACCTACATTACCCATGTCCTCCTCCTCCTCTAGGACTTGGTATTGGTGCTCCACAATGGGTGAGAAGGGATATATGGTGGGATCTGAAGGAAAGACGGTCATGGGACAGGAGAAAGTGTAGAAGGGACAGAAGAAAGACTGAAAGTGTTGCCCTGGCTTCTGGATCAGACAGGTTTGCTAAGACCTGCCAGGGAGGGTTGTCATTCAGCTTCTAGCTATCAAGAGTCCTACTGCCCCCGTCTCCCTTGCACCCAACCCTTGCACCCTTAACAACCTTCCATTTAAACAACACCTGGAAATCAAATGCAAGACTTCTGTTAAATACAGAACAAGTGTTGCAGCCATATGCCAACGCCACATGCTTCAGACACCCTTTGAGAGCTGGCACGTGTCATTCTTGATCGCTCCCATCCAATGTAGCAGAAAGCCTCTTGTTGCTCCTTAAAATAGCATTATCTTCATTGCAAAACACATGCATCTAAGCATGTGAGTGTGCCACATCAGAAGCACCATCCTCTTTCTGCACTTCCTGCCATTCTAAAGTTAGCTCTGTGCATCGAGTTGTCAGGGTGATGCTCCATTAAGTGAATGGCAGAGAGGAAGTTAACTCCATGTTTCCTGCAATCAGAGGGCTGAAGCTTAGAGAAGGATGCTCTGCCTTGCTGGAGAGGTGGAAGCAGCCTGGGTTTCTGCCATATAGCTGCAACCTCAGCTCCATGTGAACAGTTTTTTGAGGGTTTGCATAACCACTGAACATATCGAAAGCAGCACAGAATGAGCACTTCAAGGAAAAAGCCAGCCGCCAGCCAGACCACATCAACAGCGTTGTGTGCGCCAGCAGCCGAAGAAGCAAGGAAATCAGAACTTTGGAGAGATCTTATCTGGGGAGGCTGCAGAACCCTGTGGGAGGGAGAGGAAGGGTGGCCGACATGAACGTGTACAATGCTCCAGACTGTTTAAGGACATCTCAGCTGCTGGCTGCCACTTCTATGTCCATGAGCCGGCCCTGCCACCGCCCCCATCCTCCAGTGCATGGTGCTGTCTCTGACTAACCCTCTGGAGCTCTGAGCAGAGGCAAAAGCCACACCTTGGCAATATCAGGCCTCCTTTCCCATGCTCTAAGGCCATTCACAGTGAGTAATTACATTAATATCCAAGGGCCAACATCATCCAGTAGACAGCAACTCCAAGCAGCCTGCCTACACATGCTAGGTCCTGTGGGAAGTGTATAGTCTGCCTACAACTGACAGCTTCTTGGACTCTTCTTTTTTTAATGTTCTTTCCACTGCTGTTGGGTAATGAGCAATTAAGGCTTATGTAAACTAAACTGTGTTCTGAAGTGTGCTATGTGGTTACTTATAAATTAGACTTGCGCAGGGAAAACACATGAGAACATGTACCATTAAGGTGGTGGTTATGCTAAGCTGAATGGGATTTTCACAGTTACTTGGCATTCAGAGCAGGCGCTAAGATCTAGGCTTGCATGAAACAGCTGCTGTTCTTTTGCAAAGCCCTTTGATACCTCAATGGTAATGCATAGAGTTTTACTAATAGGTTGGACATTGGATTGGTATGGCATGGATTGGATAGAGGTGATCTTAGCTTCTGGCGGGGGGCTGGACTAGATGGGCTCTGGAAGACCCTTCCAGCCCTACTTCTCCATGATCCTATTTGACTTGCAAAAGTTATAATAAGGGAGAGAATCTCACTGAAGCTGTACAGAAATGGATAGTTTCCAAAATAAGGAACTGTCAAGCTGCTTCTGGATGCTGTTTAAGCAGTAAACGTGGTCAGAAAATAACTGGATACAACATAAAGGGTCCTGATTGGAACAAAAGGGAAACATATGTAAAATACTATGTGCTGATGCATGAAAGAGAGGGGGATACTTGAGCAATGCAGGGCCTGCTAAGCAGCAACCCCCATGAGAAGACTGAAAGCCACTGGCTTGAAAAAACCTACCTATACCTCAGCACTGGGTAACAGGGCAGAGCCTAGTTATGATCCATCTGCCAACTCCTGGCTCTTTGAACTAAAAGCTGCTCATATATTGTCCTCAAGTTCAATAACAGAAAGCTGCTTCCATTATGTAAGATAGCGAATTGTGTCTGGACTTTATCAACTGCCTACCAGTGCAAATCATGCTGGAAGCACTCAGCCATGGATAATCAAGGCAGAAAGACTTCTCCATAATAGGACAGTGGCTGAAGAACCCACTGAAATAGGAGTTAGACTTGAATTGTAGGCTCCTTGGGGCAGGGGCTACACTTACTCTGCGACTGCATGGAGCTTAGGACAATGGGGAGCTGGTCCATGAGAATGCTTGCTACATGTTGCTGCAGTACAATGAATAATTCCAATTAAGGCCTCCCTACTATACTAAACCAAATCCCTGCCACCCTAACAACTGTTGCAAAAGCCAATTCTCTTCCTCTGGTGTCCAGGACAAAATTCACACTCTTGCAGGAGACTCTCCATTAAGCATTAGCAATAAAAGATCTTTGCTAGACACTTTTGATTCTAGCCAACAGGGGGCACCTGCCCAGCCACCGGTTCAATTCTGCCCTTCCTCTCCAACATCAGACAGGGCAGCATGTAGAGACTAACTTGGTCACAAGCTAACTACCTCTCTCTGACATCAGGGACTCTCCTCACCGCTGCCAAGAAGCCAGACTGAGACCGAGAGCTCAGGCCCAGCTTGAGTGAAAATTTGGAAGATGACTCAGCCGCATCTGGGAATGGGAGTGATGGAAAAAGCCCCGGCTGACAGAACACAAAAGCGTAACAGAGCAAGGAACGGAATCCAGTAGCGGAGCCAAAGGAAATAAAGGACCTGGGAAAGAGCCGTGCAGGGACAAAATTCCTCCCAGCCAAGGCACGGGAGTGATGCCAGGGATGGATCTGGCTTGGGATCTCCAGAAGGAACAGGGATCTCCCCAGACTTTTATCTTTGCCTCCTCCCCAAGCCCCCGCTCCACATCTCTTGCACGTGTAAGTGTCTGGCAGCTCCTGAGGAATCGAGGGCAGTAGCCCGGTGAAATGGTTGTTATTCTTAATTTAAAACTTCTCTGCCCCTGAATTTTGAATGCGGCCTTTTCCCCTCACTGGGTGTGGAGCCAAAAGACTGTGCAGGACAGAGCCCTGTTTTCAAGTTAACAAGCGCAGCCTGTTCTGGGATTTAGACACACTTTTCCCCCCTGAAGGCAAAGTCCTCCCTTGGCTGTTGAAAGAGTCTCACCTGCATGCTGAACTGCCTACGGTGTAACACTGCGGGTTACCAGGGCTGGGTACTTTAATTCCATGAAGCACAAGGGGCCAGACTTTGATTCTAAACTGAAGGAATCAAGCAGCCCACCCAGCCTTTTTTTAAACTCAGTGGCTATTTCAGCCCTTCGGCTTCCTGCAGACTGTTCTTCAAGGCTGCTCCAGCAGCGTCACTGATATTCTGATTATGCCACCTCCCAGCTCCTCTGCCGTCTCCTTCCTGACCCGCTGTCTGATCCCACATGCTATTTCAGTGCTGGAATCACCTAAAGGCTGTTCTATGAATGCCCCTCCATCCCCACCCACAGCGTCCTTTCCCCTCAAATCCAGAACTGAGCCCCAGTGCTGGGACGTCAGGACACACTGCTTTGCAAATGCGTTTCAGCCTCTCCCCACAGCTGCAGCTCACCTACACACGACCCTGCCCATGCTCCTCAGTGCCAACCCACAGCCCCTCTGCCCTTCCACCCTGGGGTTATTCCCCACCTACATCTCTGAGACACCGCTCAGCGCTGACCCCCCACACAACAAGGTTGTTCTGAACACGCGGCTCTGCCACTGCCCCGCAATCCTCCGGCAGCCCCTCTGCGATTCCAGCTTGGGACTGTTCTCCACCCGCAGCTCAACCCAGTCCTCTGATCTCAGCTTGCAAGTCCTGCCCTGCCCTGGGCTCCCCAAGCCAGCTCTGCTGATACCCCCAGATCCGGGCTCCCAGCTCCCCTCAGCCCAGGGCTCCCTGTGCCAACTCTACTGACACCCGAGATCTTGGCTCTCAGCACCCTGCTTCCCCCAGCCCAGAGCTTCCCACATCAGCTCTGCAGATTCCCTGGCTCCCAGCCCCTGCTCCCCACGCCGGCTCTGCCCATACCCCTAGATCCTGGATCTCCACAAGCAGCTTGACCTGTCCTTCTGGATCCCAGCTCCCTACCTCCCCTACTCAGGAGGGCTCCCTCCAGATCCCCTGAATCCCAGCTCCCAGCCCCTCCATCCCAGGCCAGCTCTGCTGATATCCCCAGATCCCAGCTCTCCAGGTGCAGCTCAACGCGTCCCTGCAGATCCCTGGCTCCCAGCTCCTGCGTCCCAGGGCTCCCCGGAGCCCAGCTCGTCCACCCGGGCCCCCCGCTACCTCCTTGAGGTCGCGCTCCTGCTCGAGGGGCACGACGTCGTGGGCGCGGTGGTCCTGGGCGCGGCAGAGCGGGCAGACGCAGGCGGGGCAGGCGCGGCAGTAGGCGTCGAGGGGCCGCA